CATGCACACATCCACAGTACCAAGTACACACAACACACACACACACACCCACACACACACACACACACCAGAAAAAAGAAAAAAAAAAAACCAAAATCTTTTCATTGTTTTTCCCCCTTTGGAGGGTATCACTATGTAGCCAAGGTTAGCCTTGAACTTTCAATCCTCCGGTCTCAGCTTGCCAAGTGCATGACCCACCAGGCCTGGGTTAGAAAAACCCTGTGTGTGGGGGGGGGGTTGCATGTGCCCACACATGCAAGTGTAGATATTAGAGGTCAGTGTTAGCTGTCTTCCTCTATCACTCTCCAGCTTATTTTTGTCATTTTTTTTTTTGAGACAGAGTCTCCCTGTAGCCCCATCTGTCCTGAAACTCACTATGTAGACCAGACTGGCCTTGAACTCACAGAGATCCGCCTGCCTCTGCCTCCCAAGTGCTGGGACTACAGGCATGTGCCACCACACCTGGTGTCTAGCTTATTTTTGAAGGAGGATCACTCAGTAAACCTGGATCTCACTTGTTTCCATTAGGCTGACTAACCAGTGAGCCCCTGGGATCTGCCTGTCTCTACACAGTCCCTCCTCAGGGTTATGGGTGCATACTGCTGTGGCCAGCTTTTACATGGGCACTGGAGATCCCAACTCAGATCTACACACTTGCACAGCAAACACTTAACCATGAACCATCTCCCCAGTCTAAATCTTTTAAATAATATTTTATCTATTATTTTATTTTATGTGTATGAATGTATTGCCTGCATGTAATAATTGTATCCATGTCTTGCAATGCCCACAGAGGTCAGAAGAGGGCGTCAAATTCCCCTGGAACTGGGGTTACTGATGGCTGTTAGCTGCCATGAGGGTGCTGGGAACCAAACCCGGGTTCTCTGCAAGAGCAGCCAGTGCTCTTAACTGCTGAGCCATCTCTCCAGCTCCCCCAACCCCCAGTCCAAATCTTTTAAAATAGTTGCTACACTTCTAAAGCAGGATTGCCAAGAGTTCCAGGCCAGCCTGAGCTACAGAATGAGATCCTGTCTTGAAAAAAAAGAAAAAGCAATTACTTGGGCCAGTGAGATGGCTCAGTTGGTAAAGGTACCTGCCACTCACAAAGCCTGATAACCTGAGTTAAATTCCTAGAATTCACATGTAGAAGAAGAGGATTGACTCCCACAAATTGTCTCTACACATATGGATGGTGCACACTTGCACACGATAAATTAATGTAATAAAAAATTAAAAATCAATCAGTAAACCAATGAAAGTTCTAGAAAGTTCCCAGAGTTTCTGCCAATGGGCTTTTTAAGCATCAAGGGCACTTTGATTCTCCACACACTTGTTAAACAGAAACCAACAGGTCGGCAGCCCCTTGGAGGGCTGAAGGCAACCAAGTTCACCCCCAGAGTTGGGGCCTGGAACCCACGCTGAGGGCAAGTATCAGCTGAGGAACAAAGAGATATGTGAAGGGCAGAAAAACCCCTTTGTTCTTCCATGGCCACAAGTTCCGGGCAGTTATGCAGTTATTTGGGGGACAATAGTGTTTTGTCAACTGTCAGTAAAGTAGCTTTGTCTGTGCTGAGGTTGTGGCTTGGGATCTGGTCACAGAGGGATGGAAGAGGACAGAAGGTGGCTATGATTAGCCCTCTAAAAAAACCTTTGAAGATGACTTAAATCAATGCAAGTACTGATAATCTCTATTTGAAAAACTTCCTTTTTTTCTTTTATTGGGGGGGGGGATTAGGGCAGAGCTTAAGACAGGGTTTCATGTAGCCCAAGCTAGCCTTGAACTCTGCAGCTGAAAAATCATCTTGGACCCCTGATCATCTTGCCTCTACTATCCTTCCTACCCAGAGTAAGGATTGTGCCACCAACTTCTGGTGGTAAATATTTTTGACAAATTTATACCTTCAGTAGGTTGTTCTCCATCTTATGGATATGTGAGCCATGGCTTCTTGGGCTGTCTCAGAGAGGAAAGCAGGCTTTTTCCTCCATATAATAAGTTCCCAATCTTAGGAGATATGAACTGCCAGGATCAATAACTACTAAGGCATATACCACCTCCTCTCTGTCTTAAAGATTTAAAAAATTTCTAATTACATTTATTTATTGGGGGGAGAACATGTGGAGGTCAGAGGGCCAACAAAGGTCTATTCTCTCCTTCCACTATTTGGGTCCCAGGAAGCATTCAAGTTATTGAAGGCAGATACCTCTATCTACTAAGCCACCTCACTAGCACTCTCTCTCTTTTAGACAGGGTCTTATGTAGCCCAGTCTGGTCTTGAACTATGTGGCTGAGAACAGCCTTGAAATTCTGATCCTCCTGCCTCTAAACTCTAAGTGCTGCAATTACAGGCACACATCACCACATCCAGTTTATGAGGTTCTGGGTACCAAAATCAGGACATCCATGCATGCTAAGCAAGCACTCCACCAACTGAGCCACATCCCCAGCCCTTATCTACCATTTCCTATCTGCTTAGTATGGAGTGTGCTGTGTACTGGGACACATACACAGATCACACACACACACACATACACACACACACACACACACACACACATACACAGACTTTTAATCATGCTGACAACCTTATGCTAGCCATGTAGCCATCCCCATTTTACAAATTAAGAAAGAGGCTCAGAGAAATCCAGTGAGTTTTCTGACACACAGCCAGAGTATGTCTCACAGCAGCAGGGACCCAGAGCTTCAGCTTCTGGCCCTGGAGTGGTAGAGGCTCAGCCTCAGCCCCAAGACAAAGAATGGAAGCCCCGGAGCCTGGAAAGATAACAGTAACAGAACTCACTGCTCAATTACTCTTCGACAAAGCCTGCTGTAATGATGCACAGTCTGTGCCACAATTTGGAAAACCAGGGATCCCCATTTTAGAGGGGGGAACAGCAGCTCAGAAGTGAAGCCACTGGCTCCAAGGCTACTTGGTTTACTAATTGTGGAGCTGGGGCACCATCCCAAGCCTGCCCCTGTTTCCCCACCATTCTAGGAATCACCATGTTTATCCTCTAGTTCTGACTAGAAACACACATGTGTGCGGATTCATAAAGTAGGATGGGACAGGATGCACATACAGAGCCACCAGCTGACATGGGTTCTTGAAAAGAAGTCTGGGGCTTGCAGTTGGGTTGGGGCACAGCAGATGAGGGAGATGCTGGTGTTTTGGACACTAACAGAGGTGTCCAACCCTTTGACACTGTGGTATGATGTTGTGGTTTACAAATGTTCTGGGTAGCATTCATAGCTGTCTTAGGGCACATGCAGCCCATGCATGGGTCACAGGTTGGACACGCCTGCAAGACCTTTCACAATACAATTATTTATATGACCTTGTTTTTTTGAGGGGTGTGTGTGTGTGTGTGTGTGTGTGTGTGTGTGTGTGTGTGT